GGGGGGGGGGGGCGGAGAGGGAGAATAGGGCTGATTTGGGCCGGGAGGGATGCTTTCCCCCCCCCCGCCCAAAAGCCGACTTCCTGAGCTGTCTTTGTAATAAAAATATATATGTATATGAAGTCGCGTGGTGAAAAGGGGGGGGGGTGAGGAATGTTACTTTTTTAAAAAAAGGTGCGCTAAAAAAAAGGAACCCCCTTCCAAGCCAAGTTCTTGGGAGTATTTTGAGTGCAAAAGCCGTTTTCTTGCCCGCTTTTGGAGATTGATTTTCGTCTAGTTTGCAGCCTTGGAGTTTCCTCGTGGTCTACCGTCCCAACCCAGTCCTCCTTAGCTGTCAGCTCCTGTAGACGTGGCATGTTTATTTCGGTCAGTAGGGAACATAATTGGTGACTTTTGCAGAAAACGCCATGCTTTGGCTAATGTTACCTTTCCCCGCCCTGCCCCTTTTGGTTTAATTATTGTCTGATATCAAAAAATGAGTTGATAAAGGAACTATATTGTGTGAGTGCAGTTCCTAAATATTATAACCTAGTGTTGCTTTGGGAGCCAGTGAGAACAGTCACATAACACTAACCTCATTCTATGGAGATTCTCAGTCATCCAGGCCATGGTTGTCCCCAAGGTGCTTTTTTCAAGAGGCAACTGCACTTTCTGGTTTTTCTTTGAAGACCTTTCCCTTCTTCAGCTCTGATGGTAGAGCTAAAGAAGCTTCTTGGATGGGAAGTGAAACATCTTCAAAGAAAACCCAGAAAGTCCAGTTGCCTTCTGAAAAAGCACCTTTCGGACTAACCTCATTCCAACATAGTTCCAAGCCCTGATCATCTTCTACCTTCTCTGCAGAATGAATCTCTTCTCGGTTCAGAGATAAACCTGCAGGCCTCTTTGAATTTCATGCTTCTCTGTCCCACTATTCCCACATTTTCCATACCCAGGAAGGTAGAATTATCAGTCTTAGCTTTGGTTGTCATTGATTCATGGCCATCAAGTTGACGTTAACTCTTGACCTGTCCCCAAGTTGCTCCTTCAATGGAGTCTTTTCTCCTTCCACTTTCTCCAGCTTTATGGACTTCTCCAGGAGCTGGATCTTTGCATTCAAAATTGAGCTTGGTCATTTGTGCATCAAAGTGGGAACTCTGGATTGATTTAATGATTCATTTTATATGTTCTTGGTTGTTCATATTTCTTCAACACCAAAGTGCAAAAGCATCTATACTCTTTTTCCAAGTCCAATTTTTATTTCCATAGAAAACCACTGTATGGCTAATTCTGATCTTCTGAGGCAAAATAGTTGAATGAATGAATGAAGCCATGTGCTTCTTCCTCAGTTGGGACCATTCATATCTCCAATGTAAATAACCCCAAAGGTTTTACTGCTTTTCATTCCTCTACCTACCTTTAAATCATTTGGATGTCACTTGATTGGTTAATGGTTAATTAAAGAAAAGGATTTAAAAAATATCTGTGACCAGTTGATAATACAAATGCAGACATTAAGACTTCAGAGGAAAAAAAACCAATATACTGAACAAATTGAAGTGCATTGTTCTGGTGTTTCATTTATAAAACTAGTAACTACAATAAAAAAATAAGCCTTTAGTAATATAATGAAGGGTGCACAAATGTAAAGAATGGAGTATGAATATCTGTCTTTATTTCCTTAACTCCCTTCTCCCTGTACATAGTAAAATGATTATTGTACTGTCTTGGGCCTTACAGTTACTAGTTAAAATGAATGCACCAAAACTTGTATTCTGTCTATGAAGCTACTGGTTTCTTTTCCCGATGGGGTATTTTCTTCTTGTGATTATTAGTGACCCAAACTAATAATTAAAGGAGATGCAAGAATTGACTTTTTAGCTGAGAACACCTCCCTTGGGAACTACTTTTGAATAGACATGGGTAGTGTTGAATTGTAAATATTGTATTGCTGTTGTTTATGAAATTTATACACTACCCAACTCAACAACTCTAAATTACAGCAAGCACAATGAAGTGAAGGTTCTCACTCTTCCTCAACACAGTCCTGAGTGAAGAATGGATCTTCTAAAAAAGCAGCGGGGTGGGGTGGGGGGTGGGGTGGAGGAGGATATGCATCCAGACTTTGGGCAAAGCCTCATTCCAGAGGGCAGGTGCTGCCACAGATGTGTGCTTCTGAAGTCCCAATAAGATGTCAACCCTTTGACATCGAACTGGCTGGGCAGATACTACGAGAAATAGATGATGCCTCGAGTAACCAGGCCCAATGCTCTGTAGGTTTTTAGAAGTACTGAGACATGCCCATCATTGCTCACACCACTGCATCCAGGATCAGTTGAACCTTCTGGGTTGTCTTCAAGGGTAACCCCCACATAGGTTTGCAGGAGCCAAGCCAAGCCATGAGATACACTTGCATGCCCTGTAGGTATACGTCATATTGGTAACAATTTACAAACCAAGTTGTAATACTATTTTGATATTCAGAGGAAAGATTTGACGGTATCATTTGAACATTTGGAAGAACATTTCCCCAATCAAAGGTAAGTCCATGACATTTTTTTCTCCCTTTTAGAATTAGTAAAGTGCTTAACTTTGGCTGGATCACGTGCATCTAGTAAGTATTTATTCCTTCTATTTTCAGTTGCACAAGAATGCAACAAGAATTTTTCTGGATTTGCCCTAAGATATGTAATTGTGCAGAGAATTATTAAGTTTGTAAATGTTTCAGGACCAGGTAAGAATATATTTAATGTGAATTGAAATTGTGCAAGGGAGAATTCTCAACTCCAGACCCACTATAGCACACAGAAATGACTTTTTACATAATTAAATACATCCCCTTTTTTAGTGTTTTTTTCCTTTTTCCTTTGGTAAGTTTACTTTTACTATAGGTAGTCCTCAATTTACAACCATTCATTTAGCAACTGTTTGAAGTTACAACAGCATTGAAAAGATGACATAACTGGTCTTTGCACTTATGATCCCCATGGTCACATGATCAAAATTTGGCTCCTTGGCAACTGGCATGTATTTAACAAGAGGAAGTCAATGGGGGAGCCAGATTCCTTTGACGACCACATCCACAATTTGCTCGCCAACTGCAGTGATCTGCTTTACAGCCATGGCAAAAAGGGTCATAAAATTTGGAGGTATCTTACTTAACCATCTTGCTTAGCAACAGAAATTCTGGTCCCACTTATGTTCATAAGTTGATGACTACCTGTATATTATTTTACACAGTCGGTATAATTTGTTCAATATTTTTGTCATCTTGATGCTTTGGAAGATTACAAGATGAGTGATGTTCATATATTCTTTCAGTCCTGATAGCCAGACAGTAACTTGACACAAGTTAATTTACCTGTGGCAAGTTGCACCTTTTCACAATACTGACTGTACCCACCCACCCACCCCCATCCCAGTTCCTCTCCACCCACATTATAGAACAAAACATGTACAGACTAAGTACAAACATCCCCTTATCACATCAGCCTGCTTTAAGTCCTATTTATAAGGAAGGCAGTTCAATCACTAAGTCATGTCTGACTCCTTGTGACCTCATGGACCATAGCCCGAGGCCCCCTGTCCTCCGTTGTCTTAAAATTCATGTTCCTTGTGTTGATGACACGATCTAACCATCCTCTGCAGTCCCCTTTTCCTTTTGCCTCCCATCTTATCCAGCATCAGGATCTTTCTAAGGAGTCTTTCCTTCTCGCTAGGTCGCCAAAGTATTTGAGCTTCAGCTTCAGTATCTGTCCTTCCAAATAGTCAGGGTTGGTTTCCTTTAGGATTAGGGTTATTGATCTCCCTGCAGTCCAAGGGACTCTCAAGTCTTCTCAGGCACCACAGTTTGAAAGCATAAATTCTTCGATGCTCTGCCTTTCTTATTGTCCAACTCTCACAACCATGCATCGCTGTAGCTTTGACTATACACTTGTCAACAAGATGATGTATTTGCCTTTTAATATACTGTCTAGCTTTCCCATAGCTTTCCTCCCAAGGAGCAAGTATCTTTTATTTTCTTAACCCCAGTTATCTTGGAGTCCAAGAAAATAAAATCTGTCATTCCTTCCATTTCTTGCAGCCTTCCTACTGCCCTCCTTTGTTGAAAGACAGAAACTGAAAGGCAGAACCACGGTCTGCAAATAAAAGGGTTAGTATCTTCTCTGCCTAAGATGTTGGAATAACTTTTTCTTGATGTCAGCTGGTGGGGTGGGTAGGTGGCTTGTATTTTTAAAAGGGTGAAATGGATGCTATAAGCATTTGCCAGTCTTCAGACACTCATTTGCAAGGCCCATTTTCTCTGAAGAGGGCCTCAGTTATAACCCAACATTAATGGTTTAATACAAGCCAACCAAATATTGTCAGTGCTTGAAAGACTTTAACACAAGGTGTGGATTCTAACCTAAAGTAGACTTCTCCAACCTGGTGCTTCCTACAGGCTGATCTCCATATTTTCCAGTCAACAAAGGTCATTGTTTCTCAACTTTGGCAGCTTTAAGATATGTGGATTGCAATTCCCAAGTATGCTGGCTGGGGGAATTCTGAGAATGGGAAGTCCACATATCTCAAAGCTGCCAAGGTTGAGAAACATTGACATCTGGGAATTGAAATGCAGGATATCTCCAACACCAAGGTGAAGGAAGCAAATATGGTTTGCCAATTGCACAGTGGCAGATAGGAAAGCACCCCAGAGGGTTAATGTCATTGCCCAGAAGATCATTGGTTGCCCTCTCCCCTCTTTGGAAGAGCTTTACAGCTCCTGCTGCCTTAAGAAAGCTCAAAACATTCTCAAAGATCCATCTCATCCTGGAAACCCTTTTTTTAAACTATTACCATCTGGCAGAGGGTAAAGAATAATAAAAACAAGGACAAATAGGCTGAAAAACAGCTTCTATCCCAGGGCAGTAGCTTTTTTGAATTCTGCTGTATAGTGCAGTGTTGGTGTGGTGTTGGGGTTTTTTGGTTCAATGTGTAAAGAGTGAAGGATGTGCATTTGTGTTTGTATTCATGGTCATGGTCATGATGTGCACTGAAGATGGTGTTTGATTTCGTTGTATGAGGTACAATGACAATAAAGTAAACTAAACTAAATCAATTATTTAACTGTTCAAAATCCTTTGGGACATGTACACATCTGCTCTGGGTTATACTGTGAGTGAATTTACACATCCCTAAAATATGGAACAATTTTGTGCATGGCAAGTATTGGCTGGTTAATATGAATGCTATTTCCTTACTACATACTTTACTACTGGCAGCTTTTAAGAGATAAAATGTATCATCTAGAATCCACTTGAGCAAATGGGAAGTATGGCTGCTCAGCATTCAGGTGCTTTGAGATTGTGTCTAGGAACTATATAGGAAATCAGGGTCTGGCACATGCATTTAGGTTAAGCAAACAGGAAGGTTTAGCGTGTCTGACTTTTGTGTATAGCTCAGTGGTGTGTGAACCCAACCAATGCAATTTTTTCAATGGGATTATGATCCAGATACTAATGCCATGCATGAACTAGGCCACTTGTATAGTGTTTTGGGATGAGAGATGTAACTCTTGCTTCCTGTCATATCCAATTTGATCAGTGGGGTTACCTAATCTAACTCTTGTCCACTGCTGCTTGACCAAGCCTGGAGTTGTCTACACTGTGTGTGTACAGTGATTATTTACGGAGATCTTAGATGGGCTACAGGGCTATGAGCTTGTCATTATGACTGATCTCCCTTGTTTAAACATTTCAGATACTAAAAAAAAAAAAAAAACAATTTTCCATTTTGTGATAATAGCTCTAAAAAAGTTGGCAAACAGATGGCACTACTAGTTATCAGGAAATGTTGATTCAAATCCAAGCCTGAATGTTACCAAAACTTGCTTGGTTAGGCCCTGTTAACAGGCAGAATGTATCAGCAATGAAGATTAGCCTCCTCCTCCTCCGTAAGTGAAGGAAGTTCTTTGAACCTGAGAATGCTTGTTACGAATAAGCATCGTCCTTTTTATTAATATTTTCGTGTGATTTCATATGGATATTTATAATCAGCATTCAAGCAGGAAAACCCATGTCACATATTAAATTTGCAGGATAGGAAAGCATCCCTTTAAGAAGTTACATCTTTTATCCCTGCTCTCCAACTTTTTCACTGGGCAAGAGACACAACTTCAATCCTGTGGCTTACAGCAGTTCTCATAAATGGGTTTTTTTTCTTGCACCTCAGCAATGCTGATCAGACTAGCAACCTATTAATTTCTAGTTACTTGACTATGAGAAACCCTTAAACAAAATATGGTAAAATGGCTTCGCCCAACTCAGGCTGCCCTGCAAATAATAGTAAATTTGTTGAGCCTGGAAATATATTTCTGTCACAACTGGTCTCCATCCTGTCTGAACAGAAGCTTATTGGCAAGCATTCATTTTATACATTAGCTATGCTTTTTTTGAATGATGATCCCTGGTAACTTGACAGGTCCCTACTATTTTCTTTGCCAGTTTTTGAAAGTAGTTTGCCAAGTTTTTAAAAGTCTTTTTCTAAAGGCTGAGAAAGGGACTGGCCCAGGGTCACCCAACTGGCTTTGTGACCATGGCAGGACTCTAGAACTCATGTTTTTCTGGTTTCTCGCCTTAACCACAGAATCAAAACTGGCTCTCTATTCTGTTTTTATTTTACTTTTCTTAAGCTAACCATAATTGTAATGTTGCTCTATAGGGAAGAATTTGCGGTTCTAAAATATTCCCAAGTAGGGAATGAAAACCAAACTTTCATTCTCCTGTTGTTTCCATGCAACTATTTAATGGACTTCCTTTACTCATGAAGACACAATATACTAGACCTCAACAGGTCATCTGATGTAATGGCTATCATTACCTAACCCAGGAATCCTTAAAACCCCTATAGCACTCTCTTGCCTGCTTTAACCTCTTTCATATGACTGCTACGTACATTTTTTTAACCTCACCCCTTTTCCAGGTCTATGATTGGGAGTAACATTTGAGAAGTTATGCTATTCATATTTCACTATATTTTCTTAACAAACATTAAATGCATGAAAAGTTAAATGTATGAAAAACATTTTATTACAAAACTAGTATTCCCCAACAAGACTGTACATTAAGATACTGTTACAATTAAAGTACATATCAGTGGTAAGGTGGCGACAGTTGTGATGAGTGTGTATTTGAAAGACAAAGGATTGAAGAATTTTCTAAATTCTTGTTAATGAACACCACACTATCAAATCATTGGTTAAAAAGAAAATAAATGCATAATCTGGCTAGGATATTGTGAAGACAGCCAGACTGCGTTTCCTTTCCAACAGGGCTTTACACATTTGCACACTAGTTGCAGCTTCATCCTAGCACGACTTAAGCACGCAACATGATTTTGCAGCATAAACAGCTTAAAGCAATAATTTATGACATTTCCTAGGAATTATATGCTGAGAGGTTGCTCCAAATAAGCAAAGAAAAGAAATCAAACAGGGACTAACTCTTATGTGCATGCAAGAGCAGAAGAGAAATATACATGATAGATTTCAACCAATACTCAAAAATCTGAAAACAATTAAATAGAGACTACTGGACCAAAATCCTGAATTTCTTTTGTAAGTCCAAAATGAAAAGAGCTATATTAGGCCCAAGATCACATTTCTAACTTTGGGGATTCAAAAATTAAGGTAACACCCCACATTTCCAAAATATCTAACCAGGATTCATGAAGATGGTTTCCATTAGCCCTGACTTTTCTTTTTAAAGAGATGTAGTACTGTCATCTAATCCTGAAATTTAAAATCCAGCACTGAAAATTCAGTATTGTGTTGATGACAGAGACAGTATGCATTCGGAAGCAAGCAAGAGCAAAGATGATATTATTTATGTTTCTAGTAACCAAATCCCAGCTGAAGTGGAATTCATTAAGGCAAATTCTGTGTAATTTACAACTGGCCTGCTTTATTTGCTTCTCCTCAACTATGTTAGCAATCTAATATTACTACTTCTGAAAAGCATTTAATTATATGAGACAAAGGCACCCCCCCCCCCCAGCAACCACTTCAATTATAAAACAAGAGGAGTTCGATAGCGCTAAGTAATCCTTTCTTTCAAATAGTTGTAAAAAATTCACACAGCACCTTTTGGTTACTTTCTCTGATTGGGTAATTATGGTCATTATTTAATATTCTTCCCATAAAGGTTTGTGCTCATAAAGCCCTGCATGAATTATAGGTATATTCATGCAGAGGAAGGGGATTTTTTGATCAAAACGTGGATCTGTATAGCTTCAGGCGATCAGTTTCCCAGCCCACATGGAAAGGCACGTTCTGTTGATGGGAGGTTTTTAAAAAGCAAATAAAACGAACCCAAATTAAATAATCAGGTCAGAAAATGAAGACCCCATGGCAAGATTTTACAAGTGGAATAGCTTACCTATATCACCAAAAATATGTTGTTATATGTGACTTCAATTATGTAGAGAAAACTTAGACAGAATTTCTTCCTGGCATCTCTGGGCTAAGCCAATTCGTTTAGGGCATGTTCAGACACTATTAGAAGAAACTTGGGAAACCTGTTTCAATTGCTAGTCTGGAAATGAGACAAAGGGATTATGTTCATAATTCGTGAATAACTTTTTTGATTCCTCTATTGCCCCATGATACTTTTTAAGAGAAAAATGAGGGGGCAGAGGAAAGAAAAAAAAAACTGAGCTCAGCAAATTCTTCTTCAAACTACTCAGTCTGACTGGTCCCTTCAGCTTCTTGTGAACTGAAGCCAAACACATTCACACACGCAGATATAGTTAGTGCACGGCATTTTGAAGATGCACTTGCCTCTGCATTGACCAAGTGCAGGCTAGTTCTTGGAAAAAACACCCTGAAGGAAAAGAGACACTTGATCAGCTACAAAGCATGGAAGATACGGCTCCAAAAGGTACCCGGGGATGGGGTGGAAGAGTGAATAATAAGATTCCTAGCTTGGGCAGGGGGTTGGGCTAGAAGACCTTCAAGGCCCCTTCCAACCCTATGATTCTATGATCAAAATGGTGAAGACTTTTCTACATGCCACGCAAGCATGTACCAAGATCAAGACCACTGCCTGTGACTATGGGGATGGGTGGGTTGCCAAATAACTTCTGTGTTCAAGAAATGTTTTCCTATTCTGAAGGTCCATGTGCTCTTGTTATTCAACATTCAGGAGAGATCAAGAGTATAGCCACTCCATTAAAAAAATAGGCCAAGCCAACTTGGCTTCAGGACCAAGGAACATATCAAGAATACCATGTAATCCCCACTTCAAGTCCTTTCTAGTTAAAATGGAAATGGAAGAAATGGTTGGAAAAGTATTTTCTTAAAATCTTGAAAAATGCTATCATTCATTGCAAATATTGAGCTTGGTAATAAATATAAATATAGGATAAAATCACTTTGAAACTCTTCAGGGGTTGGGAGGAACAGCACTGCAAACCTATGGGTGATGGGGAAAAAGTATTAATATGGAACTGTGCTACCTGGACTATACATTCTCCATTTCCTGTACACGATCACCATCTTCCTCCTCCTCCTCTTCTTCTTCTTCGTTACCCTTTACTGCAGGTGTCTCACCATCCCTGGCTATCTCTTCCACATGAGCAAGCATGTCAGCCATCAAGGCTTCCTCTAGTCTCTTCCTCACTTGCTGAACCAGCTCTTCTTGCTTCCTGGAGAGAAAAATAATTAAATAAATACCCCCAAGCGCACGTATCTATTCCTTTGTAGCATACAGCGGATATAACTGGAGAAACCCTGCTATTAGGGAAGAGGTAAATTGTCAAAGAATAACAGGACCACTTTTATATCCTATGTTTCATTTCAGTAATTTAAGGTTGAATAGGCAGCGCTTCCTTTTTTAATTTCTCCACAACCACCATCTTATATGAGATTGGAATGAGAGCGAACAGGCAAAAAAAAAAAAAAAAGTAAGCCTACTGAAGCTGTGCAGGTGATCAATCATCTAGCCCAGAAACTTGTGAGATTCATTGAAAGTGGGCAGCTGATCTAAATAACTTCTCTAAGTTGTCAATAGTGCAGACTTTCTTCTCACCTCTGATGGGGGCTCTCTTTTCTATAAGGATGATACCCAGGTGTTGTGTTTGGGGATTCTCTTCCTTACCAGTCAAAATATCAGATCTGTCCATTCTGTTTCCTATAGCACTCATCAGATTTCTTTCTGAGTTGTGCAGTACGTGGTCAGAGTATACTGTTGCACAGCTAAATGCTGGCATGCTTACTTGCCCTTAGCGCTTAAGAGAGTTCCTTCACTGTGTTCCAAATGCTGCTAGTGAGCTTGCTGGTCATGAATCCCCTACCAAAATTATAGGAGGGAAAAGATCACTAAGTAGTTCAATATTTGACAGCTTCAAAATTCATCGAATTTAGTATTCAATGCATTTTGATACGAAAATGTTGTCCCAGTACTTGTTTGTTTGGTACTTGAGGAAATAGCTACAGAGAACGGACAAAAAGTCAGCCTGGCTGGGAAGGCTGCTGCGAAAGAAAAAGAGGGACGGTCATTGATGAGGGACAGACAGAAATCCTCCCTGGCCGAAACCGATGTATTTAGTCACATCCTTTGTTTGGCACTCATCCTCCTCCTGGAACCAATTCACAATGAGTACTGAAGTACCCCTGTAGAAGAGATCTCAATTGATTGAACTGTGGTCAGGCTGAAGTTGTGGTCGTCTTGTGTGCTTTCTAGAACAGGGGGAGGACAGGAACTGGGCACAGGGATTATCTGCTCTTGCTGGAAATAACATCAAGTATTTGAAGCCTTGCCTATGAATTAGACTGAGGCAGATAGCACGCGTATTTTACAACAACTTATATTTTTTTGAGGACAACAGAATCATAGGTACTTTTAAAAGCATCCAACAAATTCTAGCACTATGTAAAACCCCAGGGGGAGAAATTCACCTCCTGCCCTGGGAGTCAGGTTTTACTACCTGATGTCTTCATCAGTCACCATGAAGGCTTTGCAGAGAGGCTGAGAAGTGTTTAGCCAGACCCCGGGGTTTTTCTCAACAGCAGCAGAAAGCTGTCCAGTGATGGGCATTGTGCTGGTATGCAAGGCACTGGCAATGGCTGAAAGGAGAGTCTCGTCAGTACATCCAGGTCCCACACCTAAAGAGGTACAGCATGATAACAGTTAATAAATGATGGTCTTTTTTTGCTAATACTATTACAAAATTCCTGCTGATCAGCATGATCGCGTTTAAGGCACAAATATATTCTATGATAGTCTGACAGCAGTATCAGGCACTAGGTAGAGTAGTGAGCTTAAATTCAAATTTAAATCTGTACTCCACAGCTAAAGCTTTCTCAAGACTCTTTTTGGGGGGGTAAACAATTCAACTTTTTAACCTCTTGGCCTAGAAACGCAACTAAGGGAGAAAGCCTTTCCTCTTTTACAGAAGGCAGAGCTAACAATAAGAGGGCAGTTTAAGCCCTGCGCCTTCTAGGAGGAGGGATAGAATTGAGCTCTTTCCCGTGGTCTCTCTTTTCATCAGCAGTCTGAAAATCAGCAAGCTTCCCGTCCCTTGCTTGGTTTTGTTTTCCCGAGGATAAGGGGGCACAAAATGAGAGTGTATTTCGTTTTATACACATCCCACCCAAATAGTGAGATTTTTTTTTAAAAAAAAATTAAGACGTATTTTGTATTTTTAACAAACAGTTCAAGCAGCTGGTTATGATGAGACATCTTAAGTGCAGAAAGAAAGGAAACTGGAATCTGAAAGGATTGGATCACTTTTCTGAAATGGAGCTTAGGAAACGGCAATTTATACAAAAGGAGGGGCAAAAGAGATTCTAGCCAGAAACTCTTCATGAGGTCTTCCTGGTGCTCTCTGAGCTTGGCTGTTTGTTTGCAGACATTTGGGTAATGAAAAGTCCTAAACAAAACAACCAAGCTCAGAAAGCAACAAGGACCCTCATTTAAATCCTGAGCTACAAATATTCTCCTTTATTAAAAACTCTTCAACACAATTCAAGGATTGTAAAGGAGTGAGCTTTAAAGTTTTGATTACTGAAATGCATATATGGACAGACATAAACATTAACTTCTATTTGACAGAATAATAGCTTAGGAAAAGATTTACTCTTGCAACTAGCATGTAAAGATATATTATGGCATTGTGCTAAGAAAGCTCCATTCATCTGATCTATCTGGATATTTGTTTTTATGATTGGATCATTTATTTGAAAAATCATTACTTTTAACATAACGGTCAGATGCTCTGAAGAATATTTGATAGTGAAGAAGTGGAATGTAAAATATTCCCAATGAAATAATCAGCTTCGTGATCCGAGGAACTTGGTCACTGCCATCAGCAGTTCAGCTCTTTACCAACAGCTGTTGAAAGTACCTTGCAAACCCTTTGGAAGGTCCATTGTTTTCACCAGCTCCTCTGCAATGTCAAAGGCATTTAAGCCACTTAGTTTCTTTTCCCAGAAGAGCTAAAAAGAGAAAAACAATGTATTTTTGTAAAAAAAGAAAAAAACCTGACACTGACTTCCCAGAAGATGATAGACCTATCTTCCCATCCAAAATATTTTTAAACCTCTAGATAGGTGCATGCAAAAATTGTCTGTTTGTGAATTCAGCATTCCAGACATTCAAGAATGCTGTGTTTCCCTCCAGACCATAATACTTCTGGGGGTGGGATGGGAGATTTCAGCAGTTTACAGAAGTAGCTTCTGAACTGGAAGCATCTAGGGATTTCTGACCGAATACCTATTTTGTCCAGAGCACCTTGAATCATTCACAATTTGGAGACAAGTGGGATTTTTCTTAGTTAACCAGAATGGCCCATCCCAAATTGATGAATTTTGCAACTCTCTATTGGGCAAGTATGTCAAGCATTTAATCTTCTGTGTGCAATGTATTTCCCCAAATATTTTAAACAAGATTGTATATTTTTATTGAAGACTGGGTGAAGCTAAAATCACATATATAACTTCACCCAATCATTCATTTTTCACCCAATCATTCACACACACACACACATACACACACACAGTTTTATTATTTTTACAAAGATCTCAAGGCAGTGACCATATCTAATACACCTTCCCTCTCCTATTTTCCTAACAGCAACAACCCTGTGACGTGAGTTGGGCTGTGACTGGCCCAAGGTCACCCAACTGACTTTCATGGTTAAGGCAGGACTTGAACTCACTGTCTCTTGTTTTCTAGCCTGGTGTCTTAACCACTAGACCAAGCTTGATAGAGGATATCAATGATTTCCCCCCTTTTAAACTCTACTCAAAATACCAAACTATGCAAAATGGCCCCATCCACTTGGGAGAAGATGCTATGTAAGTATGAAAGAAAAGCTAGCAACTCGCATGCAGCTCCAAGGTCTACAAGTTTCAGATCTTACTTCAGATTAATCTGAAAAGGGAGAAAGAATCAGTCTGAGCAATCTTTTCCTGCCTCAGCTAGGTTCTTTCATGCAACCCATGATTATGGGATATACTTGGAAATAGCCTAAAGCTCATGAAGTGCTAGTAAGATGGAACTTCTCGGTATTCAGAAATGTTAATTTCAAGTTCAGACCTAGTCTAAAACTGCTAGATTGGGGGAGTAGGCTGGCAATTTATATTCCTTGCAAACATTCTTGCAACATCTGGCTAACCACTCCTGAAATAAGATGCTGATTAGGTGGATTTAACAGGAGTCTTTTTACATTATTACAATAACTTAGTGTGGTATAATGGAGAGCAGACTGACTTCAAAGCAGAGATCAAGGTTCATACTGCTGCTCAGCCTTGATTAGGCCTCTGCTTCTCAGTAGTGTTCTATGAGATCAATTGGAAAATACTTCAAAGTAAACCTCCCACCTCTCAATCACACCTCTTACCTGTCGGGGTTGGTCAACTGCTTTTTGGGGGTCAGTCTTCACTTTATTGCTGGGATGATTTGTGATCTTAGTGACTGGTTGCTTAAAAATTGAAGCTGTCTGCCTCACAGGAAGTGTGGTGTTTAGATCAGGTTTACCCTAAAGATTTGACAAGATAGGAAGTGAGCAATAAAAAAACCATTCTGAAATTAAACTAAGATCTCAGTATACAATATTATGGAGTTCAAGGTGATGCAAAAATGTTTTGAATAAAATTGTTTCTAATCTGAAATACCCTGTTTCAAATGAGAATCAGCTGGGAATAGGCTGTACATTTTTAGCCAGAAACAGCTATGTTCTAACTACAAAGATTTGATTTTGAATTGAAAGTTTCAAAATGGTCCAAAATGACAATTTTGCAAGTGGTTTGCTTCTTAACATTTTCAAGACTCCTAAAACTTAAGTCTACTGGAAATTAAATGTCTTTGTAAATTTCAGATTTTTTAAAAGATACATGACAAGGAAAATAACCCTTTCCTTATGTTGTGTTTCTGGAGAAATCACTCAACAAAAGAAACTTTTTTTTTTGGCTACAATGAATTTTCTCCATTGGCAGCAATACAGAATTTTCTCGTCAGGAATGTAACAGAAGAGTCGCTTTTCTTTCATATCTATCTTGATCATGACTATCAGTTTTTCTTCCCAAAACCATACAGCTTTTTAAGAGTATACAGAATGCTCTTTATCCCTAATTTAGTTCAAGTCTTAGATCAACAGCTTGTCTTCAAATAAGGCAACTTTAGGAATCCAAGTATGTATGTATAGTAACTCATATCAACATTCTTGAAAAAAAATTATTGGAAAATACAGTTTTCAAGGACTATAAATTCAGGGGACTTAGAGGTATAATCTTGGGACTGATTAAATCTATTGACAACTGGTTTCATTGCTATTTATAGAAAGTTGAGATACTGAAAATGTGGTTGAACACTGAGTGACAAATTGGGAAAATAGTACATCGATTGATACATAAAGTATATTATATAATTATAATGAGCACATTAAGGCTATAAGTTGGAAGATAAAAATTCTGTATAGGTAAATGTATTATTACTGTGAGCACTTATGTGAAAAATGTCAACCCAGTCATTACACTGTCCACAAAAAATGTTGGATGTTGAAGAAAAACTATAAATAAAACATATATAAAAAACAATTTTGATGTACTTTAGTGATAAAAAGCTACAAATTAGTACAGGTAGTTCCTCAACTGAAAACCATTTGTTTAGTAACTATTCAAAGTTTATAACAGTACTGAAAAAAGTGACTTATGTCCATCTTTTTCACTTTACAGCTGTTGCAGCAAATTCAGGTGCCTGGCAACCAAGACGTATTTAAGACGGTTACAGTGTCCTTGGGTCATGTGATCACTTTTTGCAGTCTTCTGATGAGCAAAGTCAAGGAGAGAGCTAGTCATCAAGCAACTGTGTTACTGTAGTGATTCACTTAACCGTGGCAAGAATTCTAAAATAAAGCCAAACTCTCTTAACAACTACCACGCTTAGCAACAGAAATATTGCTCTTAATTGTGACCGTAAATCAAAGACTACCTATATAGGTCTTTGAGCATAAGGCTGGTGCGCTAATAGATCCTACACTGAGTAGAAGGTTGGAACAGATGACTTCTAAGATTCAATTCTGATTTTATAATTGGAGATCCAATCAGCTGTAATCAGGAAGGCCTTAAAATAATTTTATTTCAGCAAGTTTTTGAGCTCTAGGGAGATTATAAGCAGTTATCTGTTTTTGTTACTGCCATTATGATGATGATATTCCCCTGCAATTTTAAAAATAATTTTAAGTGATCAGATGTTCTATATCACAGTTTGCTTCTATGCACCACGCAGAGGTCCCCTGGAGGCTGAAAACGGGCACTTCCGGTATTTCTGGAAGGCCTGTTTTTTGGCCTCCCAAGGCTGCAGAGGCTTCCCTTGAGCCTCTGGGAAGGCGAAAACGGCCTCAAGCGGGCAGAAAATCAGTTGGGACGTGCGCGTATGTGCAGTGCAGGTAAGCTTGACTGGGGCTCGTGTGCCCGCAGAAATGGCTCTGCGTGCCACCTGTGGCACACATGCCATAGGTTCGCCATCACGGGTATAGAGGATTCTAGGTTCAATTTCCAATTTAACAGCTAATGTTCACTTTTATTCTGGGAATATACATTTCCCCTTTATGCTTTGTCATAAAATAGTAACTTGGCTAGGAATAGTAAACTACAGCAAAGATCTAAAAATGGAATTCCCCAATCCATCCCTTTTTTGTCCGTAGTTTGTTACGTTTTTAAGATCATTTAGTTCACTTCCAATGAGGATTCATGGCAAACTAGATATCTTTGAACGAGCAGATAGCAAAATCAGCAGCCAGACATTTCTGACCAGCCAAGTCTCTCTGGATAAAGAAGCGTGTAAAATATTCCCATGTGTGATTCTGGACAGCCACTTCTTATAAGTAAACTAATGGCTTGCAAGTTGAACAGTTGAGAATCAAGGGATTCCATCAAGCTCAGACCACAATGTAGTCTTATGGACATAAAAGTTCTGCTGAGTCTCATTTCCTAATCATTTTTGGAAATACTATTATAATCTTTCAAAGATGTTTTGGAAGAGGAATAAGTTTTATGAGACTGAGATGGATCTTAGATTTAAAAATGGCAGAGTATAAGAATATGGAAAAAATGTTGCACTAGGTATACAAATGAAACTGCTACCTTAACAATTAAAAGGGATATAGAAATGGCAAACCAAAAGAATGACCTTATGTTGGATTTACAAAAGAGACCTGTTCTTAAGAATTCAGTGAGAAGAGAAAAAGAAAAATGAAAAGTAAGCTCCAGGACACTATTTGAAGGGATTAAAGACCAAGATTGTTAAAAGTAAAAAGAGTATACAGTAGGTCTATTAGATCAAGGTTAAAAATAGATATGTGGTCATTTCGTTTTTCTGGTAACCCTTAATGGACTTTTGATGACTAGGACTGAATGATGAAGTTTTAAGGATTTTTTTTTATAGATAAAGAGTACTTTAATAGAAAGTGGTTGTTAAAATTGTTTATAATTGTTGTGACAAAGAGCAAACCATTTCTTTATAATCATTTTCTTTTTCTTTGCTTTATTCTTTCTGTTTATCTAATCTACCTACCTACGTTCTTAACTGCCCCCCTCCTTCATAGAGGGGCTCTGGGTGATATACAATTTAATCAGTATAATAAAACATTAGAAACTAAATAATTAAAAATTATTAAAAAGAGTTCCAAGATGGGGAAAGAAGTTGCTAATACAGGCGGGGCAGGGGTGGGTCCTCAAGTGGCCAACCAGCCCTATGGCTATGTGGGCTCCTAGGTCCACCCATGCAAGGCTACACAGCCAGGTTTTGACCTCTTTGCAGAAGGCCAAGAGATTGGAGGCTTTCTTCACCTCTGAGGCCACAGTAGAAAATACCTTCTTCCTTGACCCCGCCATTTTTTTCTCTCTGGATTTTTTTTTGCAATTTAATTTTTTTCTAGTTTGTATTAATTTTATGTATTTAACTGTAATGCTTAATAAAATGCACACATATATAAAATAAAATCATTTGGTTCAACCAGACATTTCATTTGGAATCAAGAATCTTGGATATGTTTTTGTCTCCCATTTGTTGAGGTGTTACTTTAGAATTTTTATGTGAAATCTATTTTAAGTGCTATCTGCTTCAAGTACAAGTTATTAAAGAAAGAGCATTAATGACAAAAGTAAATAGACTTAATAAGCCATATCACCATGAGCCTTTAGAGTTCAATTGTAATTCTCCCCCTGTAGCCAATAGGGTATTCAATTTTTTTTAAAAAAAGAGAGGAAAAAAAGACCGCCCTCACCTTGGTTTGGCTTGAACAGTCATAGCGCATCCTTTGCCGGTTTTTGTTCACCTTGCTCATTAGCATCTTCCCTGTTCGGAAGTCAAACGAGCTCAGGTCCATGGAGTTACCCAAGTAACGGGCCAGCTGAGGTTTGCTGCGGAATTTCTTCCCACTTGGACTGAGAAACGGACAGAATTTGAACGGGGAGGGATGGAAAGAAGAACAAAATTAGCTTTTGAACTCTGGGCAGCATGTGTTAGAACTATAGCCGAAATGTAGCAATTAGTTTGGGGCTGTTTGCACTTATCCCTGCAAAACCATAATGGCTTTGTTCTGGCAGTTAACAGACCACCCCCCCTTGCAATTCAGTAACTACAGATACAACAAAGCTGGTTAGCAGCAAGTCACTTTCATCATTGCTGAGGACACTGTGGGCAATATAATGCACACAGAAGATCAATGGTGAAGTTAGACTTTATAAAGGGGAGGGATTAAGAGCTATAACTTAAAATTAAGAAAATACTGTACATGCTTTTCTACATATGAAACTTGTGCAACTGCTCAATACAAACAGAAATAATTCCAAAACTACCATTTTAGCAGCACGATACAAACACGCAAAGAAGTCCTCCTGATTTAAGGCCTGCAAGCCATTTGTGAGGAAAGTGTCCCATGTGGATTATTATGCTTTTTTACTAAAAAAAAAAAAGTGAATGTAGAAAGCATTTCTGATCCCCCATTGTTCAACCAAAGATAAAAAAGCAGCTGCAAAGCAATGGAACCAATTCTCCACGCTTGCCTGTCTTAAAGGTATGCTGGCATTGTGAAGTTTTCCATGGTATCCTTCAGACTGTTTACAAAAAAAAAGCTGTCTGCTTTTCTTTCACTCCTTTATTTAGAGTGTTACTTGAAATTCACAGACTTACGAGAACATACATGGGGCTTCAGGGGGGAAGAAAAGGGGAGAACTTAAAATGAATACATTGCAACCTATTCAAACTGGATTGAACAGCCTCCAGATGTCTACTCTGCACAGACAACCTGGACTCTTTGTTCTTTTACATTCTGATTTGCAAGGGAAAATGTATCTTTGTCCCAGTTACATGCAAATTCATTTCCATCACCAATTATCTAGCTTCAGGAAAGCACACACAGACATTTTACAGAACAGAGAGAAAAAAACAAGGGGTTTAATTAAAACAAAAGCAAAAGTGTAACAACAAGCAGTAATTTTTGAGCAAGTGAGTAAAATATAGCAGTTTTCAAACTGTCTCCTTTCAGGGATCACCGTTTCTCACTAAGTCTAGGTATCCAGAATACTTTCACAAGGTAATTTATGTCTATCAAGCCTTATTATTTGCAAACACACTCAGTTCTTGTAGTCACTAAAATCTTTACATAGCTGATTCCTACATCAGAACAATAGTGAGGATATTCTACTTCCCCCCACCCCCACAAATAAAGCTCATCATTCCTTATTTTTTCAAGGACAAATGTTGTATTAGAGAAAGATCAGAGAATACAAGCTGAAAGTCACAAGTATCAACAGTGCATCAATTTAATTATGATCATTTGTACAACACACTAAATGAATGTGTGAGATTACCTAGACAGATCACTGATTTATTGGCTTAGTATTGTCCACTTCACCTGGCCATAAATGCCCAGCTCTCAGGCAGGCAGAAACAAGTCTTCATCACTCATACAATTCTTTTAACATCAGATCCCAGCATGCAAAGCTGAATCATCACTTGTACTGGTAAGTGTCTTGCCTGAGTCATATCATTAATATATTCTTTGCTCCAATTTCCTCTATTTCCAGAAGTCTTAAATACAGATTTTGCTCATCTCTTGCTTTACCAAGATCCATTTACATAAATACAGCATCAAAATCTTACACTAAAACTATCAGGTACTTAAAGAATTCAAGCAGTGTGATGCAGAAAACCATCGTAACAACTGTTATTTAAGCATAATTACAAGAGCTTTACTGAACCAATCCAACTTCTATTCAAAACAGCTTGAACTAAACATCTGTAGGCTCCATTAGGAAGGTAGAATATTTAGACAGGACCCTCACAAAAAGCTTTATTTTTTTTAATTAGCTAGTTGATCCATACATATATCTGTAGGTGGTATCTGTAGAGGGAAGTACTATACCTTAGCTCAGATTTAGAGCTTAATAGCAACATTTCAAATAGAGGCAGGAACTGAATAGGCTTTAAGATTGGATGAATGCACTCTTATTATTTAGCACCAGCAAGCATACAAGCAACCATCCTATAAGGCAAGTGTGTATATTTCATTTGGGGATCTTTAATGCTGAAAAGCAGGTAAGTGTTTTATAAGGAAATAAAGTTAGGGTTAGGATTAGACACATCAATGAAAAAATGCATATAGTCTAGAATAGACAACTGGCAGCCCACCAGCATTTTCAGAAGTTTAATTTACTGATGCCATCCAAAGATACTAGCTACTATGTCACCAGTGCTGTCCTTCTGTTAGCCACCAAACTCATTGATCAGCACACCAGATATTATTTTGTGGTTCAGGATTCTTTTAATTTATTGATGTGGCCTTTTCTTCCTTTACATGTTGTTCATGACTAGTCTAGACCAATTCTCAGTATACAAATCCCAAGACACTCTATTATCATTATCAAAATATGGGTGTTACAAGTGTTTTCCCCACCTAAAACTAGTGTTAAAAATTATCAGGCATCCACTTAATTATATCTAGGGTTTACATGTCCTGCCTTTACTTCCCTCTCTTCTCAATTCATGTGAATTGGTATCTGAAGGGTGCAATTTATAAGCTTATAAACATGCAATCTTTTCCTCTGTACTGCAGTTCTAAATCCCACCTCTACTGCTTCCTGAATAAACAAGCACAAGATGCCATCTCACAGCCTTCTTCCATGAGGCTAGAAGTCAGGCGGAAGACTTTTCATGCATTGGCAGCCTGACATAATTTGATATATTATAATGCTACCAGCAGCATATTGAAAAGATTAGCAGCCACAATGCAATTTGTTTAGTTCTTGCTTAAGTGTGATTTGTAAACCCAGACTTATTTAACAAATCATGATTAGTGAAATATGTGAACATAAGTTACTAGTAAGGTATCTTTATGCAACAGACTATCTTCTCTTATTACTAGAAATACTGTGACTATATTGTAAGAGGTTGGGGGGGAAATTGTTTTGTATCAGACAAACTTACAGCTTCTACCAACTCATCTTCTGCAGTCTTTCTGCTCCACATACACCCACATGGAAGCATTGTGAGAGCACCTCACAGTTGTCTATGTAAGCAAGCTAAAGGAAACCAAAGTGGCAACAACAGTACCACCATACTTCGTTATTTTTTTGCCTACACATCCTTAAATGGCTGTGTCTACCCTGCTCCCTCTATCTTTTCTTGATTAGCTTTCTACAATGTTTCTAGTTTAGTGGTATAGCTAAAAAAGAGCAGCTGGGTCATCTACTATTCTGCAGACTGGGGCTTCCCCTCATTTACAAAGAAACTCAGTTCTCTTATTTCCTCCCTAAAAACTCTCTTGCACTTAGGATAGCACTTCTGACAATTTAGTTATCATACACTGATTCCCATTGAATTTAGACTATCAACTGAATTTAAATGTATTTGAATCAAATTTAGATTATTAGGCCTGAAAGCTTGGCTGGCTGACTTTGGAAAGTTGCTCTCTCTCAGCCCAACTTACCTCACGAGATTGTTGTGTGGAAAATAAGAAGAGGAAGGAGTATTAGGTATGTTCACCACTTTGAGTTATTTACAAACATTGGGGGGATGGGGGGGAATCTAAAAACAACTCATGCATTCTCCATGTGACTCCCACAAGGCATTTGATTTTTTTTGTATTTTAAAGCTTCGTGTTCTCTCTGCGCCACTCTTTCAAATTCTCAGCAAATCTGAACCATTTAATAAATATTAGAAAAACACAATGTCTTCATCTCTGAAAGCACTTTTGAACAAGTTATTACTGAATCTGTGTTATATTCTGATATACATACATCTCCATTCTAAGTTTTAAAGGCCCCTTGAGTTAAATGTTATACTAAAAATGAAATCTGAAATTAAGAATTTATTTACTGCTTGAAATGGTGGGTAGACTCCAATTGGTTAATGTGGGGATGTTGTGGCAGGCCAGCTGGCTTGTGCAGTTTGAGAACCACTGCTCTATTCAATATAAAAGTCTGTTTCTCTCCAGAGAATCCCACATTGATGTATCTCAAAACCCAGATGCAAAGTCACTGGAAAGGGGTGTAGTTCCGTAGCCCCAAAGACAACAAAAAGCAGATAGCAACTCAGCTCTTCCATTTTGAAATAACAGCGTAAACTTCCACAGAAGAACATCTTGCAATTGCAACAGGATTGTAATTTCTTAGCACGTAGATACTAAGACTAACCTGCCCCAAATTTACTGGGGGAAATCACAATACTTCAACTCTGGTACAACAGTAGTAATCTAAAATCAGCTCTACTTGAGGATATACACCAAGTGACTGGACTTTTAAGATGTGAAATTGTCATTTGTAGTTTACTCCACTGCTGACTGAGAGAAAGCCATTGGCAACACTCCTTTCAAGCGATTCTTTAGCTAAATCCAGAACAAGGAATGTCTGTAGCTTATATCAAACCTTTCAAAAATGCTAAAGATGCCATTCTCAGCCCTGAAATCTCTAGCACAGCACACATGCAAAGGTTGGAAGTAACCATTAATTCCTGCCCCATTTGACATGCAGAAACCAGTTTCGCCCCCTCCCCGCAGAACTGGACTTTCCACAGTAGCTGCAAACAGGGGATAGGAAAGACCAGCTATATCTTCATCATGCAGAAAATGCAGAATGAGCAAACAGGCTCCCCCTTTGTATGCACATGTTTGCAATGAGTCTTACAGCAGCAAGCATGTAAAGATAAAGATAGGTGGCGGCGGCCACAGCAGCCTCATCACCCCCCTCCATCTTCCTCCCTTCCCACCGCCAACCCTCCCTACCCAAGGCCCCTCCGCCGTGGCACATTCACCTATAATAATAGACATCACTCTTGCCAGCAGAGAGCCCCGATTTTCTGGTCACTTCTTCCCTTTTCCATCCCTGCGGGAGAGCTGAGCACTCCCACCTCTTCCGATCCATTGCTTCCACGATGCCTGGGTCTGGATCTGGATCGAGCCAGCCTCCTCCTCCTCCTCTGGTTCCTGCCTGCCTGCTTGCTCCAAGATCCCTCCCAGCCAGGACTGCGGTGGTTTGCTTGCTGCTACTTGCTGGCTAGCTACTATTGCAGCTGGTGGCGACTGCAACCTCCACTCTGGCTTCCAGGACCAAGCTCTTCCAGAGTGCCTCCCTCTGCTGGGACTGGAACGTTCACAGTGGCTGTTCCTTTCAGTAGCTGTCAATCGCACCTCCCACTCCTCACTTCACCCGCTGGATGGGGGCGCTGTTCCTTTTACCCGACCGCCGAGCTTCTTTGCTTGCATCATCAGCTCTTCTCAGGAGCTCCCTTCCCTCCCGCCGCTGTCTCCCTCATTCATTCCTTTTGCTTTTTTCCCTTACGACGCACGTGCGCCTCCCCTCCGCGGCTGTTCCATTCATTCATGTTCCTCCCGCCGTACGAAAGAATGAGGTAGAGCGAGCGCAGGCAGCCGCTGGTGAAAAGCCAAAAGAAAAAAAAGTCCACTTCCCATCCCGCCAAATTAAAAAGCTCCCACATGGTATCCCTCCGCTTTGGCAAGAATATAGTCCGCCTCCGAGATTTTTTTTTTTTTTAGCCACTTATTCGTGAACGGGCGCTAATATAGGCACCTGCTGCCAAAAGCACTGACAGGACTCGGGGTTTTCTTCCTAATAAAACAAATCCCGGTTCTACACTCACAATCTCATTTCTTCTCACGATCATGTGCTTCGTTCTGAACCCCGCAGCCAGACAGCTGCGTACGTGTGAACGCTGCCTCTCGTGTTCAACTCCGGACACTTTCCCAACCGCCACCCTTTCTCTAGGCTCCCATGAAGCTTCTCATGGAGTCCCGACTTTAGCCAAATCCCTGCGACCACTTCCCCAGAAGCAGCGCGGGCTCTGCAAACCGCCTGGAGTTCCTGCCCGAAAAGGCGGCATCCAAACCTACACGGGAGTTCATAATTCAAACGACTCCCGGCCGGCCGGCTTTTGCATTCTCCACCGCACATCCTGGCTCTTCGAGGGAAACTTCGCCCACCCCATACGCCAACGGTCTCCACTGCTCCCCATTGCTTGTCCTGGACCCCGCTTGCTTGGACAGGCCCCACGGGCCTCCCCTCCGCCCCCGAGGCTTCTCCCCAGTTCCTCGCTCCCCTTCCTTTCACACACGTGCCTTCAGCGCCTCCGCCCCCCAGATCCTCTCACAGGCTGCCTGCCTGCCTGCCCGCCCGGCCGCTCTCTCCTCCCCACCCACCCCGGCCGTTCGTAATTATCGACGGGCGTTTAATGGCATCTAGCGTCCCACCACGCCAAGGCCGCCGTCTTCCCCGTCGGGGGAGCTCGCTGACCACCCCCATCCCACCCCCGGGCCCCCCAGCTCCGCCGCCGCCAGCAAGGCCCTTCCTCCTTCCCTCCCCGCCGGCAAACCGTCCCCTTACTCCACCCCACAGCTCAGCCCTCCCCGTTCTTCAAAACTCCCGCCCCATAGGGCGCGCGCGCGCCTGCCTCACCGGCCCGCTTTTCTTCGGCAGCTCCACGGGCGGCGCTCTGAGGACCTCCTGGGGGGGATCCGAAGCCGCCTCCCGGGCCCCTTCCCCACGCTTCCGCTCCGTTGTGTCGCCCGAGGCTGGCGGAGCCCCCCCCCTCCCCCTCTAAGGGCTCGAAAGCGTCCATTTCCCGCATCGCCTCACCTAAGCACCCCTCCCCACCCGGCGTGCCCCCTCCTCAGCCCGCCCCAGGGCACTCCGCGCGCCCAGACTTTTTCACCAGAGCCCCTGCTCCGCGGCCGCTTCTAGCCTGCTGACCGGCTCGGCTCGTGCCCTGAACCTTGTCCGTGGTTTCAGTCCGCCACTCCCTACCACCACCACCACCACCATGTCGCGGGCACACCCCTTCCCCAGGCTCTCCTGTGCGCTCACCCCAAAGGAAGGCAGCGCGGGCTCCCTCTCGGACCCCCGGGTGCCCCCGGCGCCTTGGCCATCTTCCTCTTCCCCGGGCGGTGCAGCGGGCGCCACGTGGTCCCAAAGCCCAGGACCCCCCGCTCCTTTCGACCCCAGAAGCCCCGCCCCGCCGGGCCAGCCCGCAGGGGACGAAGGCGGGGTGTGTGTGTGGGGGGGGGGGTGACGGCCGCGAGCACGTGAAAGGCGCCTCCGCTTCACCCCCCGCGGCCTTTGGCGTCGAATTCCGGCTTCCTCCCTCGGCGCCTGTGGCTCGTGTGTGGGATCCGTTGCGCTCGTTTCCCCTTTTTAAATCAGGATGCGAGCTCAACAGGTGAGGCCTGCAACGCTTCCTCCGCAAACTGCTGCCCACGATCCTACTGTCTTTCTGCATCATCAACGGGGGCCCGGGGGTTCCTTTGAATCGTCTCCAGGACTTCAAGATCTTTGGGGCTTCCCAGTTTGTACATACTTTGAAATTATAAAAATTACGAATTGACGTGTGTGTAGCCTCAACGTTTTCAAGGGGTTTGAAAAACAACATCGTTCCTCGGTGGTTAACAGCCTTATGAACACAAAAGAGAAGAGCAAGTGCGAAAAGAACCAGCACTTTACCTTTACACTTTCTTTTGCTCATAGAAGCAGTCATGTTAGCTTACAATAAATATAATGCAACATGCCATGATTAAAATCACCTAACAATTGAAACCCTAGTGATAGTGACTCATCTTGCCATGTTGCTAAATTCTAGGAGAATGCCCCTCCCCCTAATGCTTCTCCCTGCGGAGAGCTATCCGTGTCTTTAAAAAGTGCACAAGCCACCATCACCAGTAGTTGAGCTGGCTGGGAGAATCTATTCAGAAGAACCTCTCCTAAAGATTTCCTTAATTAGGCAGCTTCATTGTGGGCAACAATACACTGAAACCAGCCTTGAGCTGAAAGCTGCAAATGCTCCAGGTGGGCCTTCATAAAAAAAAAAAAATCTGGTTATGATTTGTTAAACAACCAGTGGATGGACCATAAATTGGAGCAGGGTGACAAACAAATGTGCCAGAGAATGCATACCAAATAGGCTGAAAAACCCCTTCTATCCCAGGGCAGTAGCTCTGTTGAATTCTATTGAATGGTGCAGTGTTGGTGCGGTGTCGGGGTTTTCAATTCAATGTGCAGTGTGAAAGATATGTGTTGGTGTTTATTTTCATGGTCATGATGTGCACTGAAAAGGGTGTTTGATTTAGTTGTACGAGGTGCAATGACAAAGTAAATTAACTAAATGGAGTGACCAGAAGAGATCATCAGAATTTCAGAAAATTCCCAACTCCTTGCTGCCATCTGCAGGTTATTTAAACGATTGTACTCCATAGCCTGGAGTTCTAATACTTGGAAAACCAGTATTCCAAAAAAACATTTCAGGTATCTCCTCAGCTGATTCCTCCAGCTGCTGTTTTTTTTTTTTTTGGTAAAAGCAGCCTGTCTGTACAAGCCCAAGCTCCAGAACAGATTTGCCCTCTCAAATTTAGCAGCTGCTAAGGTTAGGAAAGAAAGATCTGCTTGGAAACCTAGTGAGTTCTACTTCAGGTAGAGAAGCATTCCTTCATATATTCAGGCCTACAGTCTTAAGGCTTTAAATTATGCCTGGCAAGTGCAGCTCTTTCAATGTAGACATCATGTGGCCCTTGCACTTTGCACCAGTCAAAGTACAAGGCTGCTGCCTTTTGTGCCAGTTGTAGCTTCTGAATTATGTTTCAAGCATGACCTTCCATTGCAGTAGTCAAGGAAATCTAAGAAAATTCCTTAGCTCATATGGACAGGATGACATAGTACCCTTACCATTGGAAGCTCAGGTGAAAAGATGCAGACATTAGCCATCCTCTGAGATACAAATTTGATCACTATTGTGAATCCAAATTTTGTTTTCCTAATATTTGCATTGGCATGGAGTTCCCATTGCTTTATGATTACGTGCCATCAAGTTGATATCAACGCGTATTCTCCATGATGATTTGCTCAACTGATTCTTTTTAAGTTTTTCAAAGGTGCACTCATTGCTACCCTATATGAGCCCACCCACCTTGCTGCTGGTCATCTTTTTCTTTTTGTCCCCCTATCTCAGCATCAAAGCTGAGCCAGAGAGCTGAGCTTTCACTTAATGTTGTCTGATGTGAGATAATTTGGGACTGGTCAATTGTGCCTTTAGCAAGAACTGTAGGTTGATTTGTTCACTGATCCATTGGTTTGTTTTCTTGGCTGTCCACAGTATTCTCAGGAGTCTTAACACCAAAATTCAAAGTTGTCAATACGCTCCCATCATCTTTTGAAGTGAAATTGCTTTATAAGAATTAAAAAGAAATCTGTGGGAACACATCTGGCAAACAAATTACAAATTAACCATGTCAGTCTCGTATAAAGAAAACTTATATAAAATGGTTCATCGCTGGTACCTACCTCCTGTGAGACTGGCTGAGATGTTTCCTAACCTACCACCCAACTATTGGAAATGTAACTACGCACAAGGAACATATTTTCACATGTGGTGGACTTGCCCATGTGCTTAGAAGTTTTGGAGAAATATTAGAAATTGGATTTTAAATATAACAAAACAAAATTTAAAACTTGAACCTGAAATCTTTCTGCTAAGTATGATAGATTTAAACATGGAGAAAAAATATCAATATTTAATTTTGCACATCATAACTGCGGCCAGAATAACCTACGCACAAAACTGGAAACTCTTTCATTCCTTCAGAGGATATGGTAATTAAAAAAATACATGAATGTGCTGAGATGGATAGCCTAACCGAATTGTTAAAAAATAAACAAGATAAGTGACTATTATGAAATATGTAACATTTGGTATGATTGGTTAAAGAAAAGGTAATATTTGATATTTGGATAAGTTATGGAAATGACAGGTGTGCATTTAATTATAAACTATATAAATTAAAACATAAAAAGAACGAAGGAGTTATTGTAACAAG